CTTTCACTCACTGCTCACTGACTCACCCAGAGCAACCTCCAGACCTGCAAGATCCATTCATGGTAAGTGCCCTGTACAGGTGTACCGTTTTTTATCTTTTATCCTGTGTTTTTACTATACTTTTTCTATGTTTAGATGCACAAATACTTATCGTTATACTACAGTTGCCTGCAGTGTTCAGTACGGTAACACGCTGTGCATGTTTGTAGCCTAGAAGCAATTGGCTGTGCCTTACAGCCCAGGTGTGTAGCAGGCTGCACTAGGTTTGTGCAAGCACACTCCAGGGTGTTCGCACATGGTGAAATCACCTAATGATGCATTTCTCAGAACGTGTCCTGTCATCAATCAATGCATGACTGTAATCGATAAGGGCAAGGGAGAGAAATGACGTGGGGAAAGCACAGAATTTCCTTCAGAGCTGAGGGCTCAGTGGAAGTCAGAGACCTTGAATTTGTAGTGACTCCAATGTAGAGTTGTGTGATTCCTTGCAAAGATGCCCAGCTGCCTGGATGCAGGAGTGGAACCTAGGTGCATGACTTGCAGGAAACTCCAAAACAGTAAAGTGTACTGCCACCCCCTGCGATTAGAATAAAAATAACACTACACTGTATTCCAACAAAATGCTGAGTTTTTCCATATTGACTTTATTTAGAATATCAAATTATTCCCAAAAAGTTATGATTTTTCTCATATTTGCATCCTTGCTTTACTGGTGCCTTAAATAGGTGCAAAGGTGATTTCGGTCATCAGCATTGACTATGGGAATGGAAAATGAGTACAGTTTTGTTATTTCAATTTGCATTTGGAAAGGAAGGAGATGAGGCAAGGAAATCCTGGGTAATTTCAAGAAAGCAGACAAAGTGATAGACTACTGGGGCCTAGATTGGATGAAGAAGGAGATAATAAATAGAAGTAAAATTTAAAAGCCCAGGCAGGGGTGATATTGAAAGTATTTAACAACCAGTCTGGCATAGATTCCAACCAATTAAAACAGTTGATGCCTTTTGGAATGGACTAACTGGTAAAAAGAAACTGGCAAGCGACAGAGGGGCCCAGTAGTCCAAACCAGAGAGGGTCTAGTGAGGTCAAAGTTGGGGCAGTGGGAGGAAGGGCAGAGAGATCTAGAGGCAAAGAGCTTGTGGGCAGAGGGTGGGGTTTGGGAATTGGAGGAGGTTCTGGCTGATAGCCAAGCCACGAGGAGGGAGTCAAACCCAGCAAGCCAACGTGGCAGAAAGGAGGAGGGTGCCGGCACAGAGGGTTGTGAAGAACTTGAACTCTTTTATTCTCCAAAGTTAGAGGCCCTCTGTGTGGCTTCCTGCAATTGACAGAACAGAGTTTCAAACAGTCATTCTAAAATTGATTCCATTGACTGGTCATTAGTCCTGAATTTCCCATGTATACTTGCCTTACAGAGAGTTTTGTGGAAGAAAATGACTTGATTTTGTGGTGTGTTTTTATTAACAAAGGTTAAGGTATGTGTGTATATATTAACATATATATTTGATTGATCTTGACTCTGTTATTTTTGGATCTTTGGAACAGTGTTTACACTGTTCCAGGGATTCCAAAATCAAAGCATTGAAAATAATCAACAGCTTTGCACACTCTTGCAGTTTGGAGATCTCTGCTTTTTAACATATCAGTGAGATGATTTGTGCCTGAAGTTTGTTTAATCTCTTCAATTAATTTAATACTTAATTTCCTGACTTTTAGAAACTGAGCTAGCCAAAAGAAATGAAAAGATATCCTTACCCACTACAGATGACAACCAAGAAGAAAATGTCCCAGATGGTAGGTACACTTAATTGAAAACAATGCCCTTTTTATCCAAGCATTAACACTACATTTCAAAGAAAGATTTGATCACCCACACGCCATGAAGTGGGAGATAAGTTATCACCTTCATCCTATACTCAAAAATAAGATCATATTTAAAATCTGCTTAAATATTTGGAAGGAATTACCAGGTATTAATTGAACACCTTCTATATACTGGTCACTGTGAGAGGCACTGGGGGACACAATGGGGAAATTATGGCCACACAGACTGTCTGGGGGAAAAGGAACCACAAGAATATGAAAAGGTAAATGTCAATACACATGTTAAATTAAATAAAACATGGCAAGACAGGTCAAAAGGAAGGAAAGTATATAATAAGTAATCTAAAAATGAAAAGGAAAAATCCTTATAACATAGGAAGGAGAAAATTTAATCATATCTTAAAATCTAGTTGGGACTTTAGGTGGCTAGAGATAAACAAATGGACATTTATTTATTCAGAAACTCTGCTCGTCCAGTCATGCAAGATGAGAAAGTTCTAGAGATCTGCTGTACAACAATGTGCATATATTTAACAATGCTGTACTGTATGCTTAAAAATTTAAGATTTCATGTCATATGCCAGAAGGAAAGAAAGAAAGAGGGAAAGAAAGAAGGAAAGAAGGAGGAAAAAAGAGAAAGAAACTAAGGACCTAAAAATAAATCAAACATGATTCCTGTCCTCAAAAATACTCACTGTCTAGCATGGGAAATAGCAAAGCAAAGAGAAAATTACCCTACCAAAAGATGTCTTAGTATGTTCGGGCTGCTATAACAGAAATCCCAAAACAGGTTGGCTTATAAACAACAGAAATTTACTTCTCACAGTTCTAGAGACTGGAAAGTCCAAAATCAAGGTGCCAGCAGATTCAGTGTCTGGTGAGGGCCTGTTTCCTGGTTCATAGATGGTGTCTTCTTGCTGTGTCCTTACATGGTGGGAAAGAATGAACTAGATTCCTTGGGCCTCTTTTATAAGGGCACTGATTCCACTCATGAGGGATCCACCCTCATGATCTAATTACTTCCCAAAGGCCCTACTTCTTAATTAAATCACATTAGGGTTTAGGTTTCAGCATATGAATTTGGGGTGGAGGAAGGTATAAACTTCAGACCCTAGCAAAAGAGGTAAGTGCTATTACAGAGAGAGGCCCAGGGAATAATGGGACCACATGACCACATAGGGGGTCTCCTAGACATGGACTGGGAGTGTTAGGAAAGACTTTCTTGAAGAGATGACGTGGGAACTAGATCTGGAAAGATGAGTAGGAATTATTCGTGTAATTTAGTGAAAAGAAGGTGTGCAAGGGAAGGGGTGGGTAGGAACGAGATTGTGAAAGGTATCTCACCAGAGGGAAAAGGACATGGGCAAAGGAGGCATTTCAGGGGATGAAGGCATGACCAGAAGTACAAATCTGGGGTAGTATAAAATTGTAATGAGAAGACAGTAGGTAGGGTAGCTGGATGAGGGCAGAGGATGCAGAAAGGATGAGTAGATAGGATGACCCCTACCTACCTAGGAAGGTAGGTAGGGGCCATCTGTTGTTTGGCTGAACACTTAGTTAACACTATGACTGGTGGATGGGGGATGAGGACAAAGCATGAACTAGATGGGGTCAGGCTTAGAGGACTAATCTGGCTGTATCAGGAGCCCTGCAGAGGACCATCGAGCAGCCCAGTCACTGTCCAGAGGAACATGGTGAACTCAGTCCTAGTGAGAATGGATCTCTTAAGAGGCTAATTAAATTTTTATGTTCTTTGACCCTCTACTAAGTCATACTCTTAGGCAGACTAAATAACTTTAGCAGTGATAAAGTAGAGAAAATGGAGTTGATATCAGGTTGTTTGGAGGACCATTTGTTGAATGAGCATTAGAATCAAGTACAACTTCTTATAGTGCTTTCCCTATTGTGGAAAATATTTCCATAACCTTAGGTGGGTTGTTAAAAAAAATAATGGTTAATGAAATCAATTTTATCACTAGCATTTTTCCCATTGAAATAGAATAAAATTGTCAAGAAAAGAGTAAATAGAATGGAATAAAATAGAATAGAAAAAGATCAGTAAAAAGATAAGAAAAGGGTAAGTAAGAATAGATTAGGAAAGGGTAAGTATTATTTCATGTAACTTTTTGTTTCATTTATATGCACACAAATGCACCCCCTGGGCTATAGTGTAAAAGGTATTTTTTACTATGGGTCATGATCAACCAAGTTTCAAAAATATCAACTTAGAACATCTCACAGGTTGTTGGTTATATTCTAAACCCAACATGTCTTATTTATTTTTTGTTTCAGGACGTAAAAATAGCATTTATTCTGATACAGTGATAGATGAAGAAAAAGATCTAGTGATGTCAAATGGTAAGTCAGTGGTGTTCTAAACAACCTCTGTTGTGTCCATAGTCCTACTCACGCCGTGCATTCCCAGAGAATGACATTGTTGTGGTCAGAAGAACACAGTCCAGTAACTGAAGTAATTTTTCAATAACTCTGCTTCTTTTCTTCAAAAACGGTTAGAAAGAGGATGAAAATGTTAACAAATATTTTTTTAAAAATGCAAAAACTGCTTCCATGTCATACTCACTTCAAACTCTCCCCCAAATACTCTAATGTCAGCTCTAGCTCCTTGTGTCTCATCCTTCCCACCTTTCCCTTTTCTTCTCAAGTCTTCACTACAAAGTTCAAAACAGCCAATATGGCAAGACAGGATCTTCATCAGAAGGCAGGTGAGAGGAAGAGACTGAGACAGCCAACTTGGAATTCTCTTTAACAGGGAAAATCTGGGAATTTTTGTCAAAGGGTCAACTGCATAAATATATATATCACCCTTGAACAACATGGGCTTGAACTGCATGGGTCTGCTTAACGTGGATTTTCTTCTGCCTCTGCCACCCTTGAGAGAGCAAAACCAACCCCTCCTCTTCCTCCTCCTCCTCAGCCTACTCAATATGAAGAGGATGAGGATGAAGACTTTATGATGATCCACTTCAACTTAATGAATAATAATATATTTTCTCTTCCTTAGGATTTTAATAATATTTTTCCCTCTAGCTTACTTTATTGTAAGAATACAGTATGTAATACATATAACATACAAAATACATGTTAATCAACTGTTCATTATCCATAAAGCTTCTGGTCAACAGCAGGCTATTAGCAGTTAAATTGGGGGGGAGTCAAAAGTTATTTGCAGCTTCTTGACTGCACAGGGGATCAGCACCCCTAACCCCCATGTTGTTTAAGCATCAACTGCATATATATGTAATGTGAATACTTGCAAATATTTATGTAGAGGATTGTATATCTTCTAATCTGCCTATGCAAATTATATATCAAAAAAATAATAATTTAACTTCCATTTTTACCAATTCTTCACCTGAAACTCTTTAAATAGAAGGAAGCTCGCAAGCACTGAGAAGTTGCCCAGTGATTAACATTAATAATGTTGGGGGACAAGGCTTCCTAGGGAGGTTGATTGAAAGATGCTCCACTGAGCCATTTGGCTGGACATCTTCTTACTCATATTGCCCCTTGGGCCATAGACAAGCCACTTTCATGGGTTGAGACTGCTTATAAAAGTTGTCTAGCATCTTGCAACTCCTAAGAAAGCATGACATTCAGAGAAACTTCAGAATGGGAGGAACAAGAAAAGAAAATGAGAATACCTGGAAAAATCATGCTTGAAATACTAAAAGCTATTACTTTAATTCTCTATTTGTTGCAGTGGAGTTTTCAGATACAACCCCTCAAACCACGTCTGAAAAGCCACTGAATTAAGAGTCCATAAATGGTAGGTGTTCGACAAAATGTTAATGAGTATTTTCTTATTCTACAAATGGAAGTTGGTAGCAGAGGATTGAGGTTCCTTGGGATACTGTTCTTTTCAGATCCTCCCCACTGCCCATATCCCTTGCTTGCCTTCTGTCCTGGAACCCAGCTTCCCACTTTTATAACTAAGGCTGTGACGATGAGAACCAAATCCATTCTTCAGAATGAATAAATAAGAAAGTGGACACATCCAGATTTCAAAAGTATATAACTGAGTCGAAAACAAGGCTGAGGTAGATTTCTCTGTGGTTGACCAAACAGGATATAGACCCAAGCCTGCACATCTTTATTTAAATGCTCAATAAAATGAACACAATCCAGAGCACCTTTCATTCTGAAAATGTACAGTATGTTGGGCTCTGGAATGGGCCCATGATGGGGAAGTGGAATTGGTGAGTAGAGAAGCAAGGCCAAGAAAGGAAACGGAACTGATGGTATAGCTGCATGTACAATTAGAATGACAAGCAAAAGAGCCAGAAGAGACACGCACAGAAGTAGCACAAGGTCAGGGAAGAAGCCAGAGTTAGTTTTGCTCTATGAAAATACCTAACAAAGGTCTTACGGTTTTATCTCCCCATAGAACCCCTCTCACACAGGCACTTTCTCAGCTACTGAATCATGAATACAAGAATCCAGTAACAGGAGGAAGGAGGGAGCAAAACAAAAGCTAATAAAAATATATGTTTCTATGTATTTTTTAAAATAGTTACATCTTTTCATTTCTCTTCATTTTACAGATTTTGAAGGCAAAACTCTGGGATCCTCACAGATCAAATTAGACTACATATAAAATTATTTGGTACTATGATAAATATAGAAAGAATGTATATGAATGTCTGTATTTAGGGAAGAATAATTTGAAAGATTGACATCAGTCTTACATACAATTATGCTAGGCAATTAAATAATAGTGACAGCACAAAAGTCAGAGTTCAGTCATTTTGTGTTACCTGTATACATTCATGTTTGTTCATTAGTAATTGTATTTTCTTAGAAATATTTCAGTGTCAATTGGTATGTTTTAATTGACATTAAAATAGAGTCGTCAGTCATTGCATCTTTGCCCACACATCCCTCTGAGAGAACCTGCTTCCTCCCACTGGCCAGACCTAACACATGGGCCCGGGTGGCCATGTTTGCTCAGATGTCCTCACTTCGACTGACTCGGCCAAATAGATGCATCGTACTCAAGGAGAAGCAATCATATTCTCCCTCTCTGTCTCTGTCTCTCTGTTTCTCTCTCTCTCTCTCTCTCAAAATTTGAACTGAGACGAATAAATTTAAAAGTTTGTATCTGAGTCAGTTTAATTGCAGTGAGGAAGAGAAGACCACAGAGTTCTGCTCATGAGGTCTTCAGAACTGGCCAAGTTCACCACCTTCATAAGACCAGCTGCATACTGTTTTTCCTTGGATTTGCTTGGTGTAAGTGTCTGCACAATAATCACACTTTTCCTTTAGCTTAGATTGAATAGGTTTCAGCTTCTGACACCAGATATGGCCTGAATAAACTGAATTTTGAAAGAAAAGCATAATAATTTTACTATATAATTGCATGGTTTAAGTAAAAATTAGAGTCTTTTATTAAAGCAGTAGTAGTCAAATCAATATACTCCTATATTTTCTAGCTAATAGGATCCTTTACAAATGCCAATTAGGAACTTTTGAAAGCCCAAGCATCATGTTAAAAGCTGCCGATATGTGTGCTTTCTCTGTATTTTTAATAGGTCTTAAGATACAAATTACTTTCTGAAAATTCAAGGAAATTTCAGATGCTTCTACATTGCTTCTACGCCATCATAATGAAGTGGATGATTTCAAAATCATGGCTGACTTTTGCTTGTTTCCAAAGTCAGCACTTCATTTGATGTTATTGTGAAGAAAGCTTAATGTCTGTGTTAAGGACATTGGTTTGGGCCCTAATCCTGCCACTTCCACTGCCTCTCCATGTGGGATCCTCAGCCAAAGGAATGTGAGCACAAGGAACAATAGTTGGATGAGAAATGAAGGGGTGCTCTACACGTAGCTGGGGACATGACAGTTGCCCCTCAGTATGCAGGGCTTCTCAATGATAATATTGACCTAGATTGGAAACTCTGATTCAGACCAAGAAGCCCAAGCAAAGCTTCCTGCTCTATACCCCTTGAATTAGTTAAGTGAATCACTTACACCCAGAACCAGGTAGAAAAGCTGGAACAGAGAATACAATCATGAACACACATCACCTTTCAATGTACTGGCTCTGCCCCTTGGTGATATTCTTTCCATGGATGTCAAGCTCTGAACAATGAGAAAATGAGCTTCTTCTCCAATTGGGGACATCTAGGAAGGGGCTAGAGCGAGACCTAGACAGAGTTTTCTCCCCTTTAGGGACACATTCGGCTCCATCCCCAGGAGTCTGTACTTTCCATAATAGCATGAATACGAACTGTCGTATGTTTGGACCACTCTAGGATAACCATGATGCTCTGGAATAGACTCCCACAGGAAAATAGAACAAATTGATTTTAATCACTATATCTTCTACCACACATTTGTCCCAAATTATATAAGCATGGAATTACACTGGGAAGAAAGTATTAGTGTTTGCTATTTATTTAAAAATAATGATGGTGCCACTTTGAAAATATTTTTCAGGGAAATATTTTTCTAGCTGATACACTAGCTCTCACAGTAGCCTGTTATGTGTTGTGGACCAACCTGGGAAATCTCAAGTCTGCTTTTCCCGCTAGAAATAACTTTAATGTGAGGTTATTAAAAATAATTTCTCTATACTATTAAAACTGTCATGGTAAAGGCATGAGGGAGGAAGATCCAGTAGAAAAATGAGAGTATGACTTGGACAGAGGCATTATGTGAATAAAGTGAATAACTTTATTGGTCACTGAAATATGAGTTAAGTGTATATAAATCCTACAGTGTAATAACTACAGTAGGCACTGTTAGTGGCCCTCCCCACAGCCCTCCCCATTCTCTTGACTAACAGAACTCTGATTTGGGGGGATGGCCGATTGAGATGACCCAAAGCTATTGGGCCCAGTGAATATAGAGATATCTAGTCGAATCCCATTTGCCAGTGACTGGTCTAGGTGCAGGCATGTAGCCCAGTTTTGGACAATGATACATAAGAAGAAGTCTTTTGTATGTACATGCGAGAGAGAGAGAGAAAGAGAGAGAGAGAGAATATGATATGCAAAAAGAAAGTACTTTGGCTCCCACCTACTTCCTTTCTGCTTAAGGTGCTGTCCTCCCAGAATGTAATGCTTGCAGCTTTGGCCACCATTTTGTGGCCATGAGGAGAGACATCACCAGCATAGGAGGGTGGCAGTGCAGAAAGATAGAAAAGGCCTGGTACCCGAGCCTGAGACCTTAGTGACTTCAAAGAGCCTCTGAACCAAACCTGGACCAATTCCAGAATTTCTGTTAAATAAGCAATAAATAACTCTGGTTTAAGCCCCTGTTAATTGTGGTTTCTATTACTTACAGACAATGGCTATATACTTATATATGTATGGCTATATATACTTACAGCTAACAGCTATTTAACTTAATAAAGAAATAGCCTTCAATTATTTATTTTAAATAAGCAATAAATAACTCTATGGTTTAAGCCCCTGTTAATTGTGGTTTCTATTACTTACGGACAATGGCTATATACTTATATATGTATGGCTATATA